AGAGAGAGAGAGAGAGAGAGAGAGAGAGAGAGAGAGAGAGAGAGAGAGAGAGAGAGAGAGAGAGAGAGAGGAGATGAGTTTTTCCAGTCCCAAACCTTTAGTTATGTTCGAGTATAACTCCCAGGGCTAAGTCCTTCTGATGAAAATCCTTGCCACCCACCCTTGCCGAAGTGGTCAATTGAGGAAGATTGATTTTTGCCATCTCCTGTTAAATGTTCATGCCTGTATTTTTTTAATGATTGAAAAATCTGCAGCCTGATTAATCAGAATCATCTTTGTAAACCATCCAAAGGTTCCACTGATTAATCTGGCCAGTTGTAGACATTACTCACCAATTTCCACTTGATGTCATTCCAGATCAGGAAAGAGCTCCTGCTTTGAAAATATTTTTCAAAATGCCACACTGGGACCTAGTAGTCACCATCTAGCCTTTCCTCTAAAAAACATGCATTGGATTGGGGTGCTTCAAGATAAATTGAGCCTGGCTTCCAATTTCCACCCATTGATCTATCATTTATAGCATTTCTAGGGAAGTCACCTATTTTGCAGAATAAAGTCTCCACTTTATTGTTCAGAAGAATCCTTGGTTCTTTGCCTGTGTTACTCACTAACCTGCTTTCAGTGTCCTGCCTTCTAACTGCCACTCTCCAACTGTCTTCTTCTTCCAGAAAATTCCATTGGCTCCCTAGGAAATTATTTAGTCTCAAACTTCCTCACGAAACTCTCAAAGCAAGAACAAACTGGATAATAGCTGCCAAACGGCTCTTATTTTATTCTTTTCTCGACGTTGCTTTCCTACCGATTGTAATCCAATATTCCCAGACAGGCACAAACCGACCCCTATTGTTTTCATAATCTTACATCTGCAAAAATAAAATAAAAAAACTACTCCAAATCTTGTAGAGCTATGATTTTGAAGCATTTATTTATAAGCCAAATAACATCAGGATGATTTACTGACAAAAGAAATCCTCAGACAATGCAACTCTTGAGAAATACTGTTGCTAAATATTGTCTGTGCAATGTGTTTCACCGGCTGAGTTAAAGGCCTAAACATTTGTCTTGTGGAAAACGAAAGAACTCTTACGAATTCCAGAGGGGTTTAGCAGAGAAGTTTATTTGCGCAAGGTCCAGAGCATATTAGAGATAGGCAATTCTGAACGAGGAGGGCGTGATTAGACTTCAGTTTTTATACTCCCCTCCTTAAAGAACAAAGGGCTACACATTGAAATACACACTGTGATGCATTAGGAACGTTTCTCACAGGCATAGAATGGAAGGTTTTGCTACATACAAAGTATCCATGTGCAGAGCGCATTTGGTTGCCACATATTACTGACAAGAGAACTTTCCCAGTGAATTTTCCCAGTGATTATGCATTACATCATTGTTCTATCTCTTGTGGAAAACGAAAGAACTCTTACGAATTCCGGAGGGGTTAGCAGAGAAGTTTAATTGCGCAAGGTCCAGAGCATATTAGAGATAGGCAATTCTGAACGAGGAGGGCGTGATTAGACTTCAGTTTTTATACTCCCCTCCTTAAAGAACAAAGGACTACACATTGAAATACACACTGTGATACATTAGGAACATT